GAGTGTATTGCCTGCATGTATGTGAGTGCACCCATGCTGTGCAATGCTGTGGAGGTCAGAAGAGAGCTTTGGATTACCCTGGAACTGGAGATAAGGATGGTTCGTAGCTGCCCATGTGGGTGATGGGAATCGAACCTGGGTCCTCTGCAAGAGCAGTCAGTGCTCTTAACCCCTGAGCTATCTCTCCAGCCCCCCACAACCTTTTTTTTTTTCCCCCCCAAAAAATTATTTACTGTTTTTATTTTATGTGTATGAGTGTATTGCCGGCATGTGTTTTAAGTGCACCCATGCTGTGCAATGCCCGCGGAGGACTGAAGAGGCCATCGGATCCCCTAGAACTGGAGTTACAGTTATTAGCTGCCATATGGGTGCTGGGATTTGAACCTGGGTCTTCTGCAAGAACAGCCAGTGTTCTTAACTGCTAAGCCATCTTTCCAGCCCCCTATACATACAAACTTTAATGACAGGAATACATACTGAGAAGTGTGGTGTTAGGCAATGTCATTACTGTTCACACACTACAGAGTGTACTTACATAAACTCAGTTATAAGGTGACTAGGTGATACAATCCTATGGGACCACTGGTGTACATGAACTACCTAAAATGTTCTATCATTCACACACTAAAGAAGTTATGCTGCTGGGCATGGTGGCGCACGCCTTTAATCCCAGCACTTGGGAGGCAGAGGCAGGGGGATCTTTGTGAGTTCGAGGCCAGCCTGGTCTACATAGTGAGTTCCAGGACAGCTGGGGCTACAAGGAGACCCTGTCTCAAAAAAGACAAAAAAAAAAAAAAAAAAAAAAAAAAAAAAAAGTTATGCTGCCCTCAGTAACTAGCCCTTTCATTGCCCAAATCTGAACAACACCTGATGCAAGGATAATGGTTACACGGTAAGTATTTACCATTGCTTTTCCAAGTATTTACAAGCACTGAGTAAAGATGATTCACAAGTGGTCTACTGAAAATGCAAAGTGGCTGCTTTCTTGTGCAAAGTAGTAAGAACAGAATGGAACAGAAACTGTGAAGATCAGGAGCACTGGCACCTCAGCACCACATAGAAGGAAATTTTTGTCTGTTTAGAAGCATGGTGAGTAAATATTATGGTTTCAATGACTGAAATATGAATGAGAAAAATGGAGGGAGAAGGAACTTGGGGGCAGTAGTGCACACCTTTAATCCCAGCACCCCAGAGACAAAGGCAGGCAGATTTCTGTGAGATGGAGGCCAACTGTGGTCTACAAAGTAAGTTCCAGGTGAGCTATGGGGAGACCCCCGCCTCAAAAAAAAAGTAACTTAGATATCAAGGGGGAATATCTGTTAGGCACATATACTTTGTTTTTAACCTACTCTGTAAAGTTTTGAAACCAAAGATCAGACATTATGAAAATCATAATACTCAGTGCTAACTTACTTCTTTGAGATCTCACTGTCTGGATACATCTGTATTCATGTGGGAAACTTACAGAAGCAAGCATGACTCAAGATGTGCAACTGTTCTAGTGTGCTAGGGTACTCTCTCCCCACTGGTCTACTGCTACAAACTTTCTATTCTACATCCTTTCCTTTTAGGAACTAAAGATTTTATTAGCAGGGCTGTCAGAATCATAGCTGCTGATTCTATGCACCAAATACGGAGAGAAGAGTAAGGTAGCTAAAAGGGTATAATATGCCTTAGGATGATATCCAATAGATTTGCCTTTCTAGGGCAGCCAACTGAGAGGCCACCAGCTCTGCCCAGACTCTAATGTAATCAGATCCCAGATCGAAGCATGAGTTGAAGCATCACTTCTAAAATGCCAAGGTTTTATTTGGTGTTGGAACTATTGCTATGGTAGTCTGATGATAATGTCCCCTGTAGGCTCCAAGTATTTAAGCATTTTGTTGTTGGGGAACCCTGCTGTTAAGGTTGGGTCCTTTCTCAGCAGGGGCTTCCTGCCTGACTTACCTGGAAAGTGTCGCCAAGCACGGATGCTTGGCCTCATCTGAAACATGACCTTTGGCATAGCTACCTGGAGTAAAAACTACCCCCAGGTTTTTTCTATATGATAATTAGGCATTTCCCCATAGTCAGATGATAGGATCCCTGCCACATGTAAATAAAGCATACTATGAGCACCTATCAGCTGAAGCATTGGCTACTGCCTCCACACTATATTTTCCCTAACCCCCACTGAATAAACAGAGCTATTTCACTGAGTCTGGAGCTGTTTGTATCACTGAACCTGCCTCCCCGGAAGGGCTTTCTTCTGTTAGTGCTCACTGGCCATCCCTGACCCCGTTCATCGCTTCTGCTCCCTTTGCCCTCATGGACCGGTGGCCAACGACCCATGAGGGGAGCGAGAGACACCATATTTTGTCCCCAGTTGGTGCTGTTGTTTTGGGAGGTCTTAGGTGTGGCCATGTTGGAGGAAGCACAACACTTGGGGCGGGGGGAGGGGGCTTATAGAATTCTTAAGCCTTGCCAGATCTCCAGTTGCTCTCTGCGTCCTGTGCCTGCTTGAAGACGTGAGAGCTTAACTTCTGCTCCTACTCCAGGCATCTCTGCTGCCATGCCTCCCTGCCATGATGGACTCTTGCCCCTTTGGAACCGTAAGCTAAATAAACTTTTCCTTTTATAAGTTCCCTTGGTCATGTTTCTATGACAGCAACAGAAAAGTGACTAATAAACTGCACAGACACTATACCTGAGATCACTACTGCTATTAAAGCCACCCCAAGATAGCAGATCTTCTCTACAATAAATACCAAAAGGAAATGGTGTCAGTTACTCATATTCTAGGCACCAAGTTGGTTTCCATGGAGCAGGTCTAAACACACATCTGGAACTTCCCCAAAGCCAAGACTTGATCAAACCACACATCTTTGAGGTATACTATTTGTGATATCTAGCAGTGCTCCAATTTCAACGTCCTGAACATTTTCCAATGGAAATGACAAAATAAGGGGAAACTTAAGGAAAAAACAGCAAGCTAAGAGTTAATTACCTGCACTGGCTCCAGATACCGCTTTGGAAATGGCACTGCTGGAAATTGCTCTGTTTCGCTTCATTATCTCTTCAAATTCAGCTTCACTCACCGTAGAGGGCGGAGGGCCCGAATCTCGGCTGCAGAGACACAATATCAGGTCTGACTACCCAAACCCCATAATACTTTTACCACACAGTATAATACTGTTACTCAGTTATGTTCTAGTATATGTCCTAAATGCGTGTTTTTATGTGTTCATTTTCCCTTCAAGGATAGGATTTATGCCACATGCACTTACAATTTTGGCATGACTCAAAATACTAAGTACTACAGCATTTGCAGCACTCATTCATGGCACTGAGTTTAATCAAGCTGTTTAAAGCTACAAAGGATATGATTTGGGTTAAGTAGTTAAGATACAAACAGAAATACTAAATAAAAAACACTGATTAGAGGGCTGGAGAGATGGATTAATGGTTAACTACATTGGCTGCTCTTGCAGAGGACCCAGGTTCGATTCCCAGCACCAACAACCATCCCTAACTCCAGTTCCAGGAGATCCAATGCCCTCTTCTGACCTCCACAGGCACTGCATGACATGGGTACACTTACACACATGCAGGCAAGACACTCATACACATAAAACACTGATTGGGGCTGGGGGGACAGCTTAGTTGGTAAAGCACTTACAGTGCAAGATTGAGGACCTGAGTTTGATACCCAGAACCTACGTAAAAATATCAGGCATAGTGGAGCACATTTGTAATCCCACGGCTGGGAAGGTGGAGACAGGCAGAGCCTTGGGACTCACTGGCTAGCCAGTCTAGCTTGTGTAACTGGTGGGCTCCAGGCCAATGAGAGACCCCTTCTCAAAGGTGGTGGACAACGTTCCTGAGGATGACACCCAAGGTTGTTCTCTGGCTTCCCTATGGAAGTACAACCATGCATCTGCATACTTAGTGCACCTGCACACATAAGCACGCAAAATAAACAAACAAAGGCTGGGCATGGTGCCACATGCCTTTAATCAGGCGGCAGAGGCAGGCAAAATTCTGAGTTCCAGACCTGTGTCAAAACAAACCACAAAACAACAAACAAACAAACCTCTGATAGTAACCTATGTCCCAGGACTCAACATTAGGGCAAAATTATATAGGAAAAGCACCAGCGTTCAGTGCTCATTCATAGAAAGCAAATGTCTAAAAAATACTTTTACTGTCCTGGCTCAATCTGAAGGGAATGTAGTCCTTACCTGCCATGGTGATTATAGGGTGTAGAGGCCTTCATGTAAGTGTCTGGTGGCGGCCCCACTGTAGCATTTGGTGGGGGGAAGAAGGCTGGATTGAGGTGAAGAGCTGGTGGGATGGCCCCAGGGGGAGGTACAGCCAGATGAGGAGGTAATCGAGGAGGCGGGGGCATGAGATGCTGGTAGTGGATGCCAGGAGGAGGAGGAGGGACACCAAAGCTTGAGGAGAGAGGCGGTGGGGGTGGAATTGGGGGTGGAGGCAAACCCATCAGGGGAAGGGCTGAAGGAGGGCGATTGAAGTAGGGCAGCACACTGGGGGGCTTATCCACACGAGCAGATGAGGGTACAAGGTTCTCAGAGGGGGTGGCCCGTCCATCAGCAGAATCACTAGAATCTCGGGAGTGGGCTCGTGGAGGTATTCCTACAAAGCAAAAAGAGCTAACATCACTGCCCAGGTACCAATAGGACCAGTTCATCCTGCGGCAAGTCATTTGGCACCATACTGAAGAAGGTAAGTGAAATGGAGGAGACGGAAGAAAAAAATCATTTACTACCTTTTCAGTGGCCTCAAAGGAAAAGATCAGAAGGATCTCAATTAAGAAAAACCCAGAAAGCAGTATGACTCTAAGTCTTATATGTCAAAGGATGCTCTTATCTAAAACACTCCCAAGTGTTTCAGAATACATTCAATTAACCCTTAGGTTTGTCTTCTAGTTTGAGATACAGAAAATCCAACAACCCATGAGAAAATTGAGTGTTATTTGTTCACTGATGCACAGCTGGATTTCAGCCGATTTGAAATCCCATGTCCCTCAGAGAGTTCAGGGTCTCTTACGACTACTACCAATTGACCTTCTGTTACTGTTCTGTTTTCTTGAAATGTACTTGTCAAAGAGCTCTGGCCAGGGAACAGGAGAAAGAAAAGGAAAGCTGGTGATGATCTACTCTATCCATATACCCAAGCTGGTAACTGGGATGGGGAAAAAGAAAAAAAGAGAAGACTAGAGAGACCTGCTCACAAAACAAGCTCACAAATCTTAGTGAAAGCTTGATACAAAACACCCTTAAAAATTTGGGGAACTCCCACTACATTTCAATGTCCTCAATTCTCTTGTCCTCAGGGCAGCCTACTGGGAATACCATCAGAACACACTAGCATGGTGCTATATACAAGTGGGGGTACAAGACACGCTTGTATATAGCTAGCAGCATGGCTTTGGACCCTGTCAAACTACCTGGTTAACTAGTTCCCCCTAATTTCATAAGTTTAGCGTTGTCAGAGTGGACCCCAACAGAACATGATATTATGGCTTTAAAGTCTTAGAGGTAGAAAGATGCTTAGCAAATATGGAGGGGAAAAAGAGTGTTTCTTAAACCGAAATGCTACGGTCAATGTCAATGCCAGAGGCAAGCCCAAGGTGGGCTCAACTACACTAACAATGACCTTAACTTCTTTACTGTCATGTTTCACGTCTACAACAACACATTCCTTTCTCAAGTTCCCACAAACTGAAGAGGTTTTAAAGCTAAGTGCAATTCCCTGATAGTTAACCACTTCAGGTACTGTTCCAATATTGTTTTGGCCTGGAACTTACTATGTAGACCAGGCTGGTCTGGAACTCACAGAGATCCACCTGCCTCTGCCTTCTGACTGCTGGGATTAAAGGTGTGGCCACCAAGCCCAGCTAGGACAGTTCTATTGAGTGAAGTGGTCCAATTTCCGTATGAAGGACACACCCAATCAATATAAGGAACCATTGCTTTTCTAGGTGGATATAAGCAGTGACAACAGGAAGGTGATGAAATGTTGCCATCCCCACCCCTACAGTGAAAGAAAAGGTGGTTGGTTTCAGGCAGGGCCTTGCAGGGTATCTACACACCTTATGAGGTCAGGGTAAGGCAAAATTCATCCTTCAAGATTAGAAACTTGATTTTAACAATATACCAGGGGGTAATCAGACCCCAAGAGACTGAGTCATGCCAACCAAAATTACAAGAGACTGACACATAAACCAGAATGACAATTTACTAATTTACAATGAAAAAAATTAACTGTTAAGCAGACTGGAATACCTCTATCAGCTGGTTCGTAAATTCTTTCTAGGACAGCCTCACTGAGAACCCAATTAGTACCAGAGGATGGCTTGGAGAGTAGAGTAAGAATAAAAAGAGTAAGGGGGCTGGAGGGACTGCTCAGCAATTAAGAGCACAGGCTGCTATTGTAGAGGACCAATGTGGTTCTCAGCACCCACATGGTGTCTGTAACCCCAGTTCCAGAGGATTTGATGCTCTCTTCTGACCTCTGTGGGCACTGCATGACACGAGTGCACTTATACAAGTGCAAGCAAAATACTCACACACGTTAAAAAAGAACTACATGCCTTTAATCCCAGCACTCAGAGGTATAGACAGGAAGACCCTGTCTCAAAAATATCAAAAAAAAAAAAAAAAAAGGAGGAGGAAGACGAGAAGAAAGGGAGTAAGATGAACTAGATCAAGCCAAGGTAGAATGATAGAATGATGCAGTGTTTTTTTAAACTAATAGCTCTACTTGCCAAGTCAACTAAAACATCTAATAATCAAATAGGGTTCACACTCCTTAGAACAATCATCAACTCTAATAACACTTCCTTCAGTAGATTTTTTTTTTTGGTCTTTTTGAGATGGGGTCTCCCTGTAGTCCCAGCTGGCCTAGAATTATGTAGACCAGGCTGGCTTTGATCTCACAGAGATTTGCCTTCCTCTGCCTCCTGAGTGCTGGGACTAAAGGTGTATGCCACTACGCCTGGGTTTTGGTTGATTCTTTACAGAGCATTCTTTGAATATATACTTGTGATAGGTACAACCACCTTTATATATCTTAGTAACATTTTGGGGTGTCTGCTAAATCAAAGTTTAGAGATGCATGTCTTACATAAATGGCCATCTGTGCTATTACCAATTTTTGTTTTGATAGGATTTATCTCAAAAAAAAAAAAAAAGAATTATAGGATTTACAGTTACCAGGAACTTTAAACGTCATGTATCCAGGCCAGATGGGAAAAGAGGCCCCGAGCAGTGAACTGACTTGCCCAAAAGTCACACAGTCAAAGGCAGAACCCAATGATAAGCCTGACTCCCAGTGTAGTGCTGTCTTCTACACAAACCTCACTCTTGGGCTTATCAACCAATCTTTCCACCAGCCACAACCACCAACACTCTCCCTCAAACTCCTCCAAATCATAGTCTGAGCCCATACCACACCAACATGCCCATAACCTCCCCCCATCATACAGATGGTCTCCACGTACCCCCTCTTGGGACTCGGACGCACTCACGTTTCCGAGCCTGCGCCTCAAACTGTGATAGGTTTTGACGGGTAGCCGGCCTCACGTCCACTTTTTCTCCATTAAGTACTTTTCCTGGCAAGAGTTCCAACAATTTGTGGACAGAATTTTCAGAGGCTACCACCACCTCAGCATACCTTGAGGAAGAAAATAAAAATCAGCAAAATCTATTTAGACATCTGAGAAACAAAAAAATTGTTTTCTATTTGGCAAAGGAAAATATCTTGCTAAGTTAAATATTTAAACACACAAAAATCTATCAACAACAAATGGTGCTACCCTATGTTTTCCCTTTTTTAGAAATTAAGAAAAAAGAGCACCCCCATCGTCACCCCCAATCCAGTACAACAGATTCCACTACATGGCTGCAGGTCCTCAATCTAAAGCAGTTTGCCAAAACCAAGGGAGTAATGTGGGCTCAGGTGGGAGGGGGTTAAAATCAAAGGTCAAATTATAGTACGGGGTGGAGAGATGGCTCAGCGGTTAAGAGCACTGATTGCTCTTGCACAGGACCCAGGTTTGATTCCCAGCACCCACATGGTGGCTATGAACCGTCCTTAACTCCAGTTCCAGGGCCATCTGAAGCCCTCTTCTGACATCCGTGGAATTGCATTACATGGGTGCACTCACATACAAGCAGGCAATATACTCATACACATAAAATAAAATAATTTTTAAAAAATTACAGTACAGATCTGTTATTCTAACAGCTACAAACTAAAAGGGACTCCCCAAATCCAGACCTCACCCTTTGGACTGGCCATTTGCTCGGTTCTCTGCAAATTTCAACTCCACAACATCAAAGACTCCTATAGAGCGAATAACCTGGATCAGCTGTTGGTCTGTGGTCCACTGGGGCCGGCAGGATGGAAAAGGGAGAAATGTCAAGAGCTATATGCTCAACACCCATCCACCCAGAATGTCCCAAGCCCTGTTTCAAACCCTAGGACTCTAGTTTACAACCATGACCATAGGAATACCAAAAGCCCAGCAATGTTCAGTTAGTACAGGCTTTCCTACTGTCCAGAACTGCAAACCCATCTATCCCCACAACCCCTATGTTTGGGGATTAAGAAAGAAATCTATTTTAACTTTGACTGCCATTTGGGTTGGCTGATCAGTAGTTCATACTGCTAGCAACTTTTAATTACAGATCTGACACGCTACAGCTGACCATGCCAAAAATTTCCCCTCAGTATATACATTTCCTAATTTGGAAAAGTCATCCCCCGCCACCAGCCCAAAACTTGTCACACAGTAACTTTTGCAGAATAGTCAGCACATACCCAAAGCGCACTATAGCTTTCGGGGCCTTTGATCCCCATCACCCACCATTATCACAGGACCATCTAATGACCACCAAGAGCTCAAGGTGTTTACTCTGAAATCTCGTCCCATAGCTGACCCTGCTAGACATAAAGTCCCAGGGTCAGGGGCAGTAATAAGATGGCAGAAAAGGCAACTACCCACTTAATCATTGCTTTCTTCGGCACCAGTACGTCCTCAGGATAGTTCTCTTTCAGAGATCAATCCAACCTGATCCCAGGAAAAAGAAATCCAACCCCATCAGAGCACAAAACAGTGCAACAGTGGTTTCTGAAAATGCCATCACCTCCCAGTCCTCTCCCTCCAGCCCACTGGTAAGCCTTCAGTTACCCTAGCTTACCCAGGAGAAGCTGCCTACGTAGACAGCTGCTCGTCTATTCCGCAGGCCACTGTAGGTATACAGAATTGCAGGGGTCTTATTGTTTGGCTTGGGAGATGGCTCCTGGCGAACGGGAGGGGGTGGTTCAGTGCTGCTGCTTCTGTCATCTGAGGGCTGCGAGGTGGCCGTCAACACATCATCATACAGGTCAATCTGATCTGTATTGTTGAACTCTGAGTCCTACAAAATGAGGGGTTGACAATGGGGTTTACATATGTTTCTGTTTGCTCCTCTGCTTCATTCTAGTTTACTTAGAACCCATAGTTAAACACTGTAAAGCAATGCATAAAACTTCCTTGTCCTATGCTTTGATGTATGTTTCTCTTCCAAGACCTTATTTAGTAGTATGCAATGTTTCTGACTCTGGCCTCCTGTGAGGATCAAAAGACAAGTGGTACTGGGCATGGTGGTGCATGCCTTTAATCTCAGGACTTTGGGAAACAGAGGCAGGCATAGCTCTTGTGAGATCCAGGCCAGTCTGGTCTACACAGTGAGTTCCAGGTCAGCCAGGGATACAAGGAGACCCTGTCTCAACACCAACCCCAGACCCCAAAAAAGACAAATGGTAAGTAAGCAGACAAACTAATAAGGAATAATGAAATGTGTACTGTTGTTATTAATGTCAGTTTCTAAAGACCACATCTAAGAATGATTAATATTGCATTTAATAAGAATTAAGAATACATTCATTTGGGGCTGGAAAGATGGCTCAGTGGTTCAGAGCACTGACTGCTCTTGCAGAGGACCCAGGTTTGATTCCCAAGCACCCACATGGCAGCTACGAACTGTCCTTAACTCCAGTTCCAGGGGAATCCAAAGCTCTCTTCTGACCTCTGCGGCATTGCACAGCATGGGTGCACTCATACATGCAGGCAATATACTCATATACATTTTTTTAAAAAAAGGATTCATTCATTTAGAAATATAAAGTAGGGGAAAGAATGCTAAAATGGGTAGGTACCAAAATGCAAAAAGAAAAACATTGGGAGTTACTGATTTAAACCCTTTGGCTCAGGCAGAGGTAGGCACATCTATGAGATCAAGGTCAGCTTGGTCTACAAAGCAAATATTCCAGGCTACCTAGGACTACTGGGAGACCTCAAAAAACCAACACCCCCCCAAAAAACCCCAAAACCCAAAAAGCCCCAAAACTTTGGTTCATACACATGTCTCAGAGAAACTCTAAAGCTCATAGAACAAAATCTCAAGCTTTTTCATAACCACCAAAGAAACAGAGTGCTGGGGATCTAGTGCAGGTACAGAGTGCTTGTCTAGCACACACAAAGCAGCCCTAGGTTCAATTCCTAGTACTGCTGAAACCATTTCATCCCTGTAGTTCAAGGAACAAAAAAGGCTTGAAGCTGGATGTGGTGGCATGCAGCCTATAATCCCAGCACCTGGGAGGTAGAGGCAAGAAGATCAGGAGTTCAAGGCCAGTCTCCATGACAAGGTCAGTTTAAAACCAGCATGGGCTGCATGAGACTCTGCCTCAAAACAGGGCCAGTGAAATGATTCAGTGGGTAACAGCACTTGCTGCCAAGTGTGATGACCTCAGTTCGATCCCCAGGAGCTACATGGAGGAGGCAGAGAACAGACTCCTGATAACTTGTCCTCTAACCTCCACACACATGTATATACCAAACAAATGTGTAAATTAAAAAAAATCCATAACACCCCAAATCAAAGTACAACAGTAACAAAGCACAAAAAGGACACAACTCTATCCAATGTTCTAATTCTTAGAAGACACTATTGTCAGCCCTCCATATCTGTCAGCTTCCTAGCCACAGATACAACCAAGTACTGGTTGTAAATATTCTTTAAAAAAAAAAATACAGGGGTGGGGATAGAGCTCTTCCCCAAAAAGGGGCAGACCCTGGGTTCAACTCTTAGCATACCTCAAATTAATCATTACTGTTCTCATTTAGAGACATTCTTAAAGTATATGACATTTACGTGTTAAGATTTTATATGCAAGCTGGGCATGGTGGTGCATGCCTTTAATCCCAGCACTCAGGAGGCAGAGGCAGGAGGATCTCTGTGAATTCAAGGCCAGCCTGTTTACATGACGAGTTCCAGACCAGCTGGGGCCACAGGGAGACCCTGTCTCAAAAAGACTGGGGGAAAAAAAAGGCTTTATATACAAAACACTTTTTTTTGGGTACTGGGAATTGAACCTAGGAGATTTGCATATCCTAGGCAAGTTGAACCACTGAGCTAGATCCTCAGCTGATTTTTCAAAGCTGTAGATAAGATCTGGCTAAGTTACCCAGCTGGCCTTGAACTTGTGACCCTCCTGCTTCAACCTCCTCAGTAGCTCAGGTTACAGGCCTCTATTACCAGGCCCTTGACCCTGTATTTTATAGACTTAAGCACCTGAGAGTTTCATTATGGAGGAAAGATCCTGAGATTACCTGGTATTGAGGGATATACCAAGTTTTTTTAAAGACAAAAATTTATCAAGGATTTTCAAGTGAAACTTAGAAGATAAGGAAATACACTGTCTTGGATACTCAATGCAAACTATGATTCCTCTTACATAAAATCTGTGATTCAGAGATGTTTCTAAAAGTTTTAAGACAAAAATCATCACTGAAAACTGACTAAAAGGCTAGTGACCAAACATGCAGATTTGAACCACTCAGAGAGCAAATGAATCAGTAGGAACCTCTTCATATGTAAGCTTAAAGGCACTCAATGTGCTCTTTCAAAATCCTCTCAGAAATAGGCTCAATCCTGGACCTTACTTTAGAAACAAAGGTATTCAATGAATACAAAATACTTCAGGGCCTCAGATCAAAAAAGCTAGTAGTAACTGCACAGGGGAAGTCTGTGGGAGTTCTACTGAAGAAACTGTCAGTTTGTTTGGATTTAAATCTGCTGGCATCACTAATTCAGTCTACTCATTCAGACAGAAAACCCGTAAGTCTGAGGTTCTTACTGCCAAAGCTGTTTATCCAAAGATGGATTAGGTTAAAACACCACCTAATCCCAAAAACTAAATGAAAAATAACCCCTACCACACACATTTTATATGTGGTAATGCTTTTTAAAGGTTTTGGGTTTTGGGTTTTTTTTGTTTGTTTGTTTTTGTTTTTTAAGAAAAGTCTCCCTGTAGCCCCTGATGGCCTGGACCTCACAGAGATACATACACCTGCTTCTGCCTCCCGAGTGCATGGATTAAAGGTGTGTACCACCACACCCAGCATTTTTTAAGAAGTTTTTTTGTAGGAACTTAAAAAAATATTTTGTGTGTATGTGTGTGTGTGTGTGTGTGTGTGTGTGTGTGTGTAGAGGTATGGACATATTCAGGTGCTCTTGGAAGCCAGAGGCATTGGATCCCCCTGGAACTGGAGTCACAGGGAGTTGTGAACTGCTTGATGTGGTTGCTGGGAACTGAACTCAGGAAGCAGTAAGAGCCATCTCTACAGTCCTATCGTAGGACACTTAAACTGGAAATATACATTTAAAACTGAATAAATATTTCGGTTAGAATTTTGTGTTCAAGGACACAAAAGAACTGTGGTTATCACATGCATGAAACTTCCTAGTAAACAATTGAGAACTTTATCAGGAGTTTGATTTTCCCATCTAGTATGCTCAATGTTCCTATCTTCTATGCCTTTCTTCCTGGTATCTGACTGAAGGAAATAACTAATTTAGATTTATTTTCTCAATGCAACCAACTTGATACTACTTATTGTTTCTTTCAATTATAAGAAGCTACATCAGTTTAGGGCCTAATACATTTCCACAGTTCCCACTTACACCTTCCCTCCCCCATCACTACTGCCTATTATTCTACACTGTCTCTGCCCATTATCTTTTGGTGGTTGTTTTCTGACAAGTTTTCACACTGTAGCCTAGTCTCCAACTTGCGCTGATTTCCTGCCACAACCTTCAGAGTACTGGGATTCCAAGTGTGCAATACCACACCCAGCTAACATCACTTTTACTTTTGGCCACCAGGAATGGAACCTATTTTGAGCACAGAGATTCACACACCCCACCCCACCCATCTCACTAGCTCTAAGAGTGCTCAGTAAACTGAAACAGCTCAACACAGCCTCAGTGTGCTAAAAGCAACTGTACTATGTAGAGCCTATCTCAGCATGAAAAGCAGACAAAATTCAGCCGAATGGCACATCTCAGTACTTTGGGTTTGTCTTCCCTGCCCAACAGAGCAGCCGTGAGTCCCAGGGCTCTCCCTGCCTAATAGCAATAAAGTAGCTCTGTCAAAGAGGCTTTTGCAGCACATGTTGCTGGAAACCAGGAACAAATACCACAGGATTCCCTATAGGAACTGTGCTAGTTTTCCTTGGGGAGCATTCCTATGCAAGGGACAGCTTGGGACAAATCAGTGACATTCCTAAGACATTCTAAAACTCAATTTATACTAGTTACCTTCAACTTAAGCCAACTTCTGACAATTCTACCCAGACTTTTTCACCATTTAGCAGTTTTTAGATTACACTAAAACCAGCTTTGCCAAAACTTAACTCATGTACATTGGGGGGCCCCTTTCTTTACCTTCTTCAATTTTCCCAGCATCAAATATTTCCGGTTTGGTACAAATGTCTAAGAGTTCACATACTAACTTTGGCCTTAAACCCATAAAAAAACCCTTCGTTAACTAAATAAAGAACAAATTATAAAAAAAAAATTATAGTACAAGAGGGTAGCCAGAGCAATGGCTCAGAGGTTAAGAGCACTGGCTGCTCTTGCAGAGGACCCAGGTTCGATTTCCAGCACCTACACGGTGTCTGACAACTGTCCATAACTCCAGTTCCAGGGAACCCAGTATCTTCTGACTTCCGTGAGCATTGCACAACATGGGTGCACTTATATATATGCAGGCAATATATTCAAACACATAAAATAAAAATAGTAATATTTTTAAATTATAGAATGTCCATCTTGACAGAGCAATGACCAATGGACAAGAATTTAAAAAAATTTTATTTATTATTTTTATTTTATGTGTATGAGTGTACTGCCTGCATGTATGTAAATGAACCCATGTCACGAAATGTCCACATAAGTCAGAAGAGGGCGCTGTATTGCCCTGGAACTGGAGTTATAGATGATTAACTCCATTAACCATTAGCTGCCATATGGGTGCTGGGAATCGAACCCAGGTCTTCTGCAAGAGTAGTCCATGCTCTTAATTGCTGAGCCATCTCTACTGCCCCAGACAAGAACTGTCTTGTCTATGACCTCTAAGTTACAAGGCTTAACCAATTATTATTTGACTAAACATGGCCTGTAGTCAAGGATCCTGTTCTACCTATTCCCAAATTAAATCAACAGCACTGTTTAGGAATGGGGGAGGGGCTGGCTATCTTTTAGTAATAGAACTAAGTGAGTATTCTTGTTAACAACAAAGCCATAATTTATAAATGGTGGCCAAAGTCTGATTCAAACTCATATGTAAAATTCAGGAAAGTAGGGCTGGACAGATGGCTCAGTAGTTAAGAATGTGTTAACTGCTTTTACAGAGGACCTGAGTTCAGCTCCCAGCACCCACATCTGGCAGCTCACAACCACCTGTAACTCCAGTTCCATAGGGATCCAAAGGCATCTGCATATCCTTAGGCTAATTTAAAAAAAATCTTGGAAGCTGGGCATGGTGGCACACGCCTGGAGTCCCAACACTTGGGAGGCAGAGTGTGCTTGGAGTCCTAACACTTGGGAGGCAGAGGCAGGCGGATCTCTCTGTGAGTTCAAGGCCAGCCTGGTCTACATAGTGAGTTCCAGGCCAGCTGAGGCTACAAAGAGACTGTTTCAAAAGACCAAAAAAAAAAAAAAAAACCAACCAAAATCTGTGTGTGTGGGGGCCCTCAGGGAAATAACCTGTAACCAAATTAGCATATATAACCTTTCGCTCTCTTTTACTCATAATTTGGCTTGTTTGAAAACTTTATTATCTTATTTATTGAATGTAATTAGCAGTCATGTAGATGATGTCATAGTTTAACAATAGAGAAGTGGGAAAACTCCTATTACCAAGTATAATTGGGGAAGCTAGGCTCAGTGGCACACACTATAATTCTAATACTCAAGAGATTAAGGCAAGGCTGCAAGTTCTAGGCCATCCAAGTCTATATACCCAGATCCTACCTCAAAAAGCAAAAAATGAGACACAAAACAAAACAGAAACAGACCAAGATGGCTCAGCTGGTAAAAGCATTTGTAGTGGAAGCCTGACAACCTGAGTTCCACCCTCAGAACCCATGCAAAGGAACCTGGCTGTGGAGAAAGGAGAATCAGAGATCTGCCTCAAAAAATAGGGTGGACGGAAAGAATTGACTCCCAAATTGTTCTCTGACCCCCTCACACAACCAATGGCACACGCATACACACAAAATAAACAAATGTAGGAAAAAAATGTCGAAAATAAATCTTTTTAAATGTAAGCTATACCCAATTAGGGGGAATAAAATGGGGGATATAGGCCCCTTTCAAAGTCAGGGCCCACCTAGGCATTCTACTTCTTTAGTCCATTCTTCAACGGTCTCTCCAGGTCCTTAGAAGAACCCATTGGAAGACACCCATCAGAAGAACCAGTTTGCCTAAGTATAACCGTGCTGAAAAGAACCCAAGCAAGGCACTAAACTACTAAGCTTTAAAAGAAGACTTTTTGGGCTGGGTGTGGTGGCCCATGCCTTTAGTCCCAGCACTTGGGAGGCAGAGATAGGTGGATTTCTGTGAGTTCAAAGCCAGCCTGGTCTACATAGTGAGTTCCA